TAAGACCAAGCTTTCGTAATTAATAATAAGTTCCCATGTCATTATTGGCTGGCTGGCTGGCTGGCAGTCCCGACAAGAAAGTGCCACTACAGGAGACATTCTAAGGACAGAAAGAGATCTTAGAAAAATGAAAAATAGTATAGCAGAGATGACATATGAATAGGGAAGTTGGATACTCTCTATAAAGAATAAATCACCCATAAAGAAAACAAAAACAGAAGCAATTAAACAGTGAGAATGAGAAAAGAAAGAAAATTAGGAGATAAATTCTATGGATTCAATATCCAAACAATATGAAGTCCCAAAGGAAGGGAATCCTTCACGGACTCAAATGCTAGGGCTTGTCTCCAGGTGGAATGGCTCACTGAGCACCTTAGGGCAGCAGATGAAAGCAGTTATTTTACCGTGAGGTGGCAGAAGGGTGGAGTCAGGGAAGGATCCTCCAAGGAGAAAGGGGGGTTGGGGAGAGAGAGAATGAGAATTAGCTCAAGTGTCCAAACGGCTTTGGATTTTGAGTTAGGCCACAATGAAGCAACGACTTCAAAATTCTGAGGGAAATTATGTCCAGCCTGAAATTGTGTATCTAACCGTAGTCTCCCAGAACAGAATCACAGATTTCAAGATCTCACAAACTCCACTCTTGGGTGCACTTTCCTCAGAAATCCCTGGGTAATCAACTCCATAAAAACAGGGAAGAAGGGACGGGCATTGGTGGCATTCGCCTTTAATCCCAACACTCGGGAGGCGGAGGCAGGCGGATCTCTGTGAGTTCCGGGCCAGCCTGGTCTCCAGAGCAAGTGCCAGGATAGGCTCCAAAGCTACACAGAGAAACCCTGTCTCAAAAACAAAAAACAAAAAACAAAAAACAAAAACAAACAAACAAACAAACAAAAACAGGGAAGAAAATAATAAATATACTGCCCCCTCAGAGGAACACATGGAAAAAGGGGCCCCAACATATTGAGGATAGAGTTGCCCAGGCTGGTGGCCTGTGGAGGTCATAAGGCAGTGATGGTCATTTCCTTAAGAGAATTCAGCCTACTGTGAGGGGAACAGTTAGGACCTGATTTGGGGATTGAATTCAGATACATACATAGAAAACTAACAAACAGAAGCCAGTTGGGGCTGGAGCTATACCTCCACGGTAGAACACATATCTAAGTGTAGACAGAAGTTTTTTTCCCCCTCCTCCCCCACATCCTGCAGCCGTTTGGTCCCAGATAAACACACAGAGGCTTATATTAATTATAAACTGTTTGGCCTATTGCTCAGGCTTCTTATTGGCTAGCTCTCTCTTAATTACTAATCCACTATTAATCTGTATATCCCCCAAATGGCCTTATCTTACTGGAGAATGCCCAGACGTCCTACCTTCCTGGTGGTTACATGACATCTCCCCTGCAACTCACTCTCTGAGATTGCATACATACACACACCATCATGCCTAACATAATATGGATTTTAAGGTAACCAAATTACACCCGTGTTAGGAAGATGTGAGGTGTGGGCCTGGGGAGTATGAGGCATCACAAGGGCTGGGTTATGATGGAGGTCTGAGAACTTGAATCTTACTTTTTGCCCTGTGAAACTGGCAGGAAATTAAAGTCCCCAAGACAAAAAGTAGCAGGATGAGCAGATAACTGAGAATTACGACAAATGCCAGATGAATCAGCTCTCAGATTTAAATCTGTTGTTTCTGAAATTGGAAAGGCTTAGCTGTTAGTTATGCCTGGCTCTAACTATGACTTGTAGGGACTGTGTAACCAGTCAGTGGAAGGGCGTGTGCTTAGCCTGCTTGAGCCCCTTGGTTCCCTCCTCAATGCTGCAATAAATAAAGAGATAATGCTGTGGAATCAGCTTCTTCAGGCCTCTCTACTTTCCCTGAGAATCACCTAGGGACTCGGAAAAGGTAGTACTGGGGCCACTCCTCCAATAGGGCTTTACCTAGTTGATCTGCAGTGAAATCTAAACTTGGGGAATTCTAAAATACTTTCCCCACATCAGTGTGAGCCATATTTGAGAACTTGTCTGAAGGAAACAATCTTAAAAATAACTTTAAAAGAGATTCATAAACCAGATATGGTGATGCATGCCTTTAATCCCAGCACTTAATAGGCGGAGGCAGGATGATATCTGAGAGTTCAAGGCCAGCCTGGTCTACAGAGAGAGCTCCAGGACAGCTAGGACTACATAGAGAGGCTCTGTCTCAAACACCCCCACCTCCCAAATAAAAAGAGATTCACATATATGCATAAGGCACATAGGATAGTTCTGGGCATCTTATTAGATACTAATAGCCCAGGGGAGGTTGAAAAGGGTGGCAAACATGCTGAGAGCAGGCCTCCCTCAAGAGTTCCAGAATTTTATCCACAAACAACAAAACTTTACACATCAAACCAGGCATGTGATGCATACCTGTAATCTCAGGAGGATCGGGAAGTTTAAGGTTATCCCTTGGCTATATAGCAAGTTCCAGGCTAGTCCGGACTTCATGAGGCCCTCACCCCCACCCCTAAAAACAAACAAAACAACAGCTACAAAGATGTCATGGTCAGCCTGACATTCCCCAGTTAGAGAAACGCTGTTGCTGCAGCTCTTGGAGGACCCAGTTTACACACAAGTGTGAACAGTGTGCTCCCATCCTTCAAGCTAAGTGCGAATGGTGAAATATGCTCTCATCCTTCCTAACAAGGGCCAAAGGGCAGAAGAGAAGGAAACTTGGAGGTGTGTTTGCTTGAAATAAAGACTTGAACTCCCCTAGTTGTACCCAGACAAACAGCCCCTCACGGGCTTCTCTTCAGAAACTCATTCTGAGTCTACCCATTCGGTAGCACTGCTGACTAGTCGCTAGTGGCTTTCAGAAAGGAGGCCTCCATCTCCTATTTTGTTTTCTGGCCTCTAAGATAAAGAGAGCCGTGAGCCACATCCCAAGGAAGGAGGCTGCCTGCCACTCCTCTGAGTTACCTTATAGGACCCTTATTTCCCGCCCTCTTTGCTGTCTACCCCTACACTTTTATGTCCTCTCACTGTGCCCCACAAAGTCTGTTTCCATCTGTGGTCGGCCTCCCCTGGATACAGGAGCCTCCCGTTACTCATCATACTGTGTGATGCCTCGATTTGCTGCCCTTTGAACCAGACACTGCCTGCTTGTAGCGTTTAATCCTCTGAAAGATTGAAGGACGCAATTCGCGTGAGTGATGACTCTTCCTAAGCAGCAGAGTCTTCACTGTACGTCACGCCCATTTTAAGCCGATTCCCCTGTCTCCACTCCCATCCTGACTCAGAGATTAATGAATTGAGAAGTATGTTCTGGTGGCTTTAAACTGACTGTCTCCCGAGAAATGCCAGCGCGTTCCTGTCATCTGTGGGAGTCTACAGGCTCCGCAGCTTGATGCTGCTTTCTGCACTGTGACACCACCAGTCTCCCCTGCACCATAAATCTCAGAAGCCGGAATCCTCTGCCCATGAGTGTGGCCCCTTTCCTTGTGGCATTTAAAGTCTGAGAAGGAAGAGATACTCTTCTGGCGGGGGTGGGGGGGGAGTTGAAAATAAAATTAAAAGCCAGGCCTGGCCGTGGTAAGCACGCCTTTAATCCCAGCAATGGGAAGGCAGAGGCAGGCGGGTCTCTGTGAGTTTGAGGCCAGCCTGGTCTACAGAGTGAGCTCCAGGACTGCTTTACAGAGAAACCCTGCCTCGAAAAATAAATAAATGTGAATATTTGTTTACCTGGAATAATTCTATCCTATCAATGTTATTTACACTCTGATACAATGAATATGTGGTTGATCCCCCAAAAAGTGACTTTTCGAGGAATTCAATTATTTTAAAAGTTCAACACAAAAATAAACTATCACAAAGAAGCCTGCTTTGCCGGGCCTTGGTGGTGCATTCCTTTAATCCCAACACTGGGGAGGCAGAGGTAGGAGGATCTCTGAGAGTTCGAAGCCAGCCTGGTCTACAGTGCAAGCTCCAGGACATCCTCCAAAGCAATACAGAGAAACCCTGACTCGAAAAACAACAACAAAAAGAAAGAAAGAAAGAAAGAAAGAAAGAAAGAAAGAAAGAGAGAGAGAAAGAAAAAGAAAAAGAAAAAGAAGCCCCACTTTGAGTGTGTGTGTGTGTGTGTGTGTGTGTGTGTGTGTGTGTGTGTGAGCGTGGGCATGTGTGTTCATGTATGTTGTATCTCTGCACGTACCTGCCACAACATGCGTGTGAAGGTCGGAGGATAACCTTGGTATAGGTGCTCCCATTCCATCTCACTTGTTTGTGACAGCGTGCCCTCCCCACTACAAACTTCTTTTTGTTTTGTTTCCATCTCTATATGCCAAGCTAGACCCCTCCCTCCCCAGCTTCCAGAGAGTCTCCTCCTCCCATTTCACTGTAGGAGTGCTGGAATTGTACACACTACTGAGCCAGGCTTTATGAAGTTCTGAGCTCCTACTCACAGAGCCATGTCCCCAGCAACCATCACATTATTTTTTTTTTTTGGCATATTATTCTAATGGGGAAGTATTGGAGAATGGTTTCTTGGTGTGGGCTAGCATCATGGGACAAACACATGACTGGGAACAAGAAAGAGCTGTTCGATTTCAGGGGGAGAGGTTGAGTTCTTCTGAAAAGAAGGAACTTTCATTGGAAGGCACTAGGCTGTTATGGAATTTCCCGCCCAATTCCACATCTGCCTTGCCCCAAAGAAGCACACGGATGCTATATTAATTATGAAACTGTTGGTCATTGGCTTGGGCTTCTTATTGGCTAGCTCTGTCTTAATTATTACCCCATTTCTATCAGTCTATGTATTACCACAAGGTTGTGGCTTACCCGGTAATGCCCAGCATGGTGTTACTCCTCTGGCAGCCTACATGGTGACTCATTCTGCCTACGTTTCCCAGAATCCTCCTCATCTCCTAGTCCCACCTATCTTGTTGCCCTATTGGCCAACAGTGTTTTATTCATCAACCAATAAGATAAACGTATACAGAAGACCATTCCCTGTCACTGGCCAGCAGACCCAAGAGTAGGGCTTTTCCCAAAGAGGGGAGACTATAGCTTACATACGCATGAAGAAAACAGCGGGCAGGGGCACCAGGTGAGGTTACTCAAGGGAAGCTGGATGGAGATGAAACTGAAAGACGGTTGGGAGTCTGAAACAGGAGACTCATATTTCCACTTGAAGGGTTTGGATGTGGTCATCAACAAAAGGGTGTGCTGAGAATATTTACTGTGCGGGCTGTGTGAACTGAACACAGGCATTAAGGCTATCTGGAGGTTGGGCAGAGCTATTCAGGAAAGGATGAGAGACTGGATGTGCGTTGGTTGACTAACAGAACCCTGATCCAAAGGAACGAACCGTGTAGGGACTAGGCAGATAGCAGAGATGAAGTTAAGAAAGAGTAGAACTATGGAAATGGCCACATGCCACCTACTTCCTTAATCGAAGTGTACGCAGTCTGAATGGCTCGCACCGTAGCTTTGTCTATGATCCTTAAGCTCATTAACCACGTGAGCTAGTGCCATGCTCACTCATGTTTTGGGGCCCACAGGGGAGGTGGCAGGGATGAGGTAAAGTTCATCACAAAATCACTGTGCAGTGGTGACATTGACTCTGGGCTAAGAGGCAGGTGGGATTCTGGAGCCTGGAGCCTGTCTAAGGATTGGACAAAAGTGTCCTGGGAGCTCCTGCTCCCTTGGCTGGTGCACTGACTGCATCCTGCTCGGTCCCCATTCAAACACGTAGCTCTGTGCCCTCCTGTTATAGCCACGAATTTGAGTCCAGAAGCGGGTACCCACTGAGAGTTCCAGAGGTGTCTGGGAAGAAAGAACTGGACCAGAGACAGGTGCATAGTACTAGAAATAGTGGTGGTTTTTTTAATGAAGAGAAAGGCACTTACTCCTAGGAACGAGAGTGGCTTCAAAGCCTGGACAGGTCCCAGGCTCCAAAGGTCCTGAGTCCTCAGCCTCATGGCCCTCTGATTTACACAGCACTCTCCTCCAGCGTTTTGCCATCACAGCGGCTCTTCCTGTGGTCGGTTTTGTTGCAGTATAGCCCTGGTGGGGTGGGTTTTCCACTTCTTCTGCCAACTGACTTCTTTCATATGTTAATCTAGATGTCCTCCAGCTCTGCTCTGGCCACATCCTGAAACTGTGATGTTTGGGTTGCTAATAAAAGTGAAAGAAAGATGGATGAGGACAAACCTGGAGGAACAGGATTTCTGAAGCCTGCAGAGGTCCATTATTTTCTTCTTTGTGGCCTCTGATCTTTAAGTTAATAACATTTATTTATTTTTTAAGATTTATTTATTTTTATGTGCGTTGGTGTTTTGCCTGCACGTATGTCTGTGTGAAGGTTGAAACGGGAGTTATAGGCGGTTGTGAGCTGCCATGTGGATGCTGGGAATTGAACCCAGGTCCTCTGAAAGAGCAACGAGTGCTCTTAACTGCTGAGCCATCTCTGTAATCTTTAAGTGAGTAACTTTTAAAAGAGAGCCTCCATTTCCTACCCAGCTGTGGTAAGGGCCAAGAGGGGCAAGACCTGCAAACTGGGCTGGCCAGGGACCCAGGATAACAAAGAGAATGAAAAGTCTCAAGTCAGGGCCCATGAGATGGCTCAGAGAGTAAAGTTGCCACCAAGTCTAATGACTTGAGCTCCACCCCTCGGAAGGAAAGACTCAAGTCCCCCACAAGTGGTCATCTGCCCGCCCTGGCATGTGCCACACACACACACACACACACACACACACACACACACACTTATCATCACCATCTTGATCATCATCAAATTTAATTAAAGCTTTAAAAAAAAAAAACTGGGCCGTGGTGGTGCATGCTTTTAATCCCAGCTCATAGAAGGCAGAAACAGGTGGATCTCTATGAGTTCAAGGCCAGCCTGGTCTACAGATCCAGTGCCAGGAGAGGCTCCAAAGCTACAGAGAAACCCTGTCTCGGAAAAAAAAAAAAATCTTTAAAAAAAGAAAAAGTTTCAAGATAGGGGAAAGTTCAGTGTCCTTATGGAGAGGCAGCTCATAGAATTCTTTTAAATGCTGAACAATAGATAGGCACAGGGGTTCTGGGGGCTTGGGAAGGGTCCAGAGTTCTGTTAGGACAGTGAGGAAATGAATGTATGTTTTTCAAAATTCTTTGAGCTGTATGCTGAAGATTTGTACATTCTACTCTCTGTAAATTATCTGTTGTTGTTGTTTTGTTTTGTTTTTCAAGACAGGGTTTCTTTGTGTTGCCCTGGCTGTCCTGGAACTAGCTCTGCAGACCAGGCTGACCTCGAACTCACAGAGATCTGTCTGCCTCTGCCTCCCAAGTGCTGGGACTAAAGGTGTGCATCCCCCCCACCACCACCCAGCTTTAAGTTATCTTTATAAATAGAATATTAAAAACACCCCAGAAGAAAGAGACTGCCTGTAATTTTGTGGATAGTAGAGAAGGCCACTGGAAAAACTGCTGAGCCAGGCCAAGCCTGTGGTCCCTTCTGTCCTGGACAAGAGGCAGTTTCTCTTCCATGGCTCAGCTAAAGCAAACAGTCACAGCCTCCCTCCCTCCCTCCTTTCTTCCCTCCCTCCTTTCTTCCCTCCCTCCTTTCTTCCCTCCCTCCCTCCTTCTCTCCCTGCCTGTTTACTTTCTGTGCTTATTTCTTTCTCCTCAAACATTGACTGCTTGTTTGTTTACTCTTTTAAAAAAATAATGGTTCCCATTACAACATCATCACAAAGAATATCACCCACTTTGCTTGTTAAATTTGCCTCCCATTACCCTCCTGATCCCCCACCTCTCAAATAGTTTCCCTTCCACTTTCATAAGTGTTTTAAATCTAGACTCCACATATCAGAGTCGTCCTTTCTAGCCCTCGGATCCTGCTGGTTGCAACACACTTGGGGAATGTTTTTGGCTTTTAGAAACAAACAGGAAGATCCTTCTGAGCCCAAGAGTGGAGGAAACTCAGAACCACAGCTGAAGAAATAATGGGAAACACAGCCCCAGGCAGAAGGGCAGACACATTCCCCAGGAACTCAGCTGCACCAGGGCCTGGGGCCTGCGAATCTGGAAGGCATCATGCTGGAACCAGGCTCACTGACTGGGGCCTTCTCTGAGATGTTTCTACAGTTGGGAATCCATGTGCTGTTGCCATAGATGTCAACCCTGGTGCCCATGGGCTCTTTGGACCACACTGTGACTTTGGCTACTTCCCTAAACACTGTCATCATGACCTCAACTGTCTACAGCAAAGCTGTCTACATCTCTTCCCTCTGCTCCACATAACAGTGGAATGAACACTGGTCATCTAAGTGTTCACAGGACACATAACTACACTTGTTGCAGCCCAAGCAAGTGGGAAGCTTGGAACTTGAGAGACCACACTTCCTGCAGAGACCCCTGGGGCACAGTTCTGTCCACAGCCCTCTGAGTCTCCAGAGTGGGAAGGAAAGAAAGCAAACAGGAGAGGATCCAGCTCTTTTCCGGGAGCCAGAACCTGACCCCATTGCTAATTCTCCTGGAAGCCACTTCAGATCCCCTCTTATGTCCACTATAATTAAGTAGATAATTCAGAAGTTTTAGAAAAATGGCCAACATGAAAAGTTAAAGGGCCTCAGCCACCTAAGGGTTCACCCTTCCAGTTCCATTCCCGTGTTCTGAAAAAGGGATGCTTTCAGATAAAGCTACAGGAAAAACACTGCTTGCCAAGGCAAGAGGGGATAATGAGCCTGAACTCAGCGGTGGCTGACCGCCAGCCAGGTCCCACCAGGGTCATCATTCGGCATTCCAAGCCTTGTCCTCCAAGCCTTCCAGCAAACGGCACAGCAGCTCCCTTTTACATTAGCTCAGAAATACGGACTCCTTCTCCATCCTTCTGGGAGCTCTCCGTGTCTAGGGCTTCTTCTGGGTCACAGGCAGTCTCTGCCTTTTTCTGACAGGTTAAAGGGCTTAAGTCTCCTTTTATTCCAGAACAAGAATCCTATAATCATTTTGCCCCTGATGTTGAGTTAGCTGACCCCACGAAGCAATGGTTTTCATCAGAGAGATACCGAGAGCGACAATGGTATTCAGGATGATGCAATGTCAAAACCGAGGGAAAAGATTGTTCAGAAACAGTTACTGACTGATAGAAAATCTGGGCCTTTGGGGAATAGTAGATAAGTTCACAGTTTCCCCACCATGGACCTCCCCAACAATAATACAGGCTGCAAGCTCATCCCAGAGTAACTGTAGCACCCTCGCCTGCCTCCTTCTGCCTATAACTTCAACCAATTGCAGTTCTCTGCCTCAGCTATATCTCAGTTGCTTCACATGCATAGACACTGGCAAACATGCCACAGATGCTCATCTACAGCCTCTCTAGAAGAGCAATTAAAGACTGCACCCAGTGTCAGCAATGTCACACAGATTAACAAAGATTAACCTCAAATTGGCAGTTTGATTCCTGGAATTTCGACCCATTATGTGTTTGTGCAAACCAACAGTTCACTTTACTCTGCTAATTACAGATGAATGGGCCCTACCATAGTCTTCTGTTTCTTTCCCAGTTGAGTGATCCAGTTTGAGGACTGGTTTTAAAGTCACTGCAATAGACAGCATAGATGCCAAAGTGCCCAGTTTCTTATTCACCCCCAGTTAGCTGCCTGCAAAACGTGTCTAAAATTATTCTTAATTCCAAGTTCTCTCTGTACAATCAGCCTCTCCAATATAATAGTTCTAAAACCTTTTCTTGATTTCTGCTTTTAATAAAGTACATTTAGAGAGGATATGAATTCCAGATTTGATTTCAGACTCTGGGGATGTGTATTCCTCTTCTGGAACGTGTATATCCGGTCCTGGGGTGAAAAGGGGGGTGGGAGAGACAGAGAGAGAGAAAAAGAGAGAGAGAGAGAGAGAGAGAGAGAGAGAGAGAGAGAGAGAGAGAGAGAGAGAGCGAGCAAAAAAAACATAACAAGCATTCCTGGTAGTCTGTGCCGTTTACACACTCAACATGTAGGGAGAGGCAAAGAAGCCTGGAATGTTGTTAAAGTCAGGTAAGGAACACACTGGCGTGGGAAATGCCTCAAAGTGGCTGCCAACTTCTTTTTCTTGCTAGTATGTTCTTTTGTAGATAGATGACAGCTATGGCCAATAAAAGTCTCAGTTTTAGGTGATACTTGGGAGAAAAAAGAAAGGAAGGAAGGAAGGAAGGAAAGTGAGAGAGGAAGGGGGAAAGAAAGAGAGACACTGTCCTATCAGCTCCGTGCTTCTGAGCACATTTGGCGCAATGAAAGGACAGCGGAGTCTCCCCCAGGTACGACCTTGCCAGAGGCACGACTCCAGCCGGCACAAAGGCTGGAGAAATGATCTCAGCTGCTGAATGCAGGAAACAGAAGGTGTGTTTCTGAGTCATAACACCCTCTGTGTGTGTCCCGGGGCATCTCCCATGGAGTTGGAGAGATACTGCCAGCAGGAGTGTGAAGCTGGGATGGGAAGCTTTGTCTCCAGTTGTGGGCTTGCTAACCGGGTGCCTTTGAGTTATCTCATTGCTCAGTGTTGGTTTCTGCATGTGAAAAAGCAGGGACAGTAACTTAAATCCGCCTCATTTGTCTGCTCTGCTGTCTCCTGGTTCAAATGAGCTCTTTCTTGTACTTGAAAAGGAGGCCTAGAGTAACCAAAGCAGACACCTCGAATTACAGGAGGGCTTTCAGAGACATTCTGATTTATCTTGAGACCCCATGTCACTGTGACATGGAAGATAAACTTAGTCTTCTAGTCTCGGCCTCATCCCATGTTCTGGAACAGATTTCTTTGGCTAATTTTATCTTTTTTTGGGAAAATGCTGGAATGTCAGATGTCTGTGTTTTCCTTCTCTCACTAATGTGGCCCCCTGGGCACATAACACAGAGGGGGCAGGCTTCATTCCATATAGTATTTTCTGAATACCCACCATGTCTGATGGGGTGTGGCTGGTCAGGGCTCCCTGGGCCAACCACTCCGGATGTGCAGTGTGTCCCATCCCTTGGCTTCCTGCCAGTGTTTGTATTGTAGACTATTTGTTGGATAGCTTGTGGTTCTGAGTCAGAGCCCAAGCTCCTCTTTTCCCTCATCCCCTTCCTCCTTATCCAAGTCCCAGCCTTGGTGCTGTGGGCTGCTGGGTTTGGCTGTGACTCTAGGGAGGTCAGGGCCCTAGCAATTGGTCTTGTAGCCCTTGGCCCCAGTACCATCTTGCCACCACCACAGACATCCTCTCTGGTAAATTTTGTAGTCAAACTCAACCAGAATCTGCACCCCACCCCTCCAGGAGCACAGGGGAGACCAGAGTTCTTTCCACACCACACAGGAACTGGGGGTAGCCTGGGAAAGCTAAACTCTAGCCCTTCCATTGCCTAACCACATTGCATTGCTCAGTTTACTCTGATGTGGCCACTCTGAGATGGGTGTGGGAGCCTGTTTCTTTGCAGAGCCCCAAATATGAAATGAGGAGAAAGGCCATGCATTGTGGTTAATTTAGCTACTATACCTTCCCCACTGGGGAAGCCCAGAGCAGAAGATCAAGATCAATGTGTTTTTCCAGTTTTGGTCTCCATCCCACTTCTCATGGCCCCCTTTCAATAAGAAACAGGCCAGCATCCTGCCTCTACAGTTTATGCTTCTCCACTTATCCTAGAGCACCTAGCCTCATTGCCTTGTTGCACAGCAGAAATAGGACTCGGGGGCATGGAAATAAACTCTGTGGCCTGCGTTCTGTCTACAGGCTTGTTTCTGGTTCTACAATGGATGAGCTAAAGAAATTTTGAAAATCCTGTTTGTCCCTTAACAAAGCCTGGTTGTTACAACTATTATGTCTATAAAACCCATTTGTAGCTGGGAGTCTTGAATCTCAACAAAGCCTAGTTGTTACAAGCATTATGTCTATAAAACCCATTTGTAGCTGGTAGTCTCAATATTAATGTTTTGACACTCAACAATGAAGAAATCTAAAGGTTAGCGTATGTCACTGGCAAAATTCGGAAGGTGAGGACATAGGTCAGTTAGAGAAACACAATAGAGTATATTAACACTCAGAAAATATTATCCCCATCAGCCAGATAGCCTGCAGACACTCTTCTGTTTCTAACAACCGGGTTCCTGAGCCGGTACTGGGAAATGCACTTTGGAAAATCTGACACACTTCTAAAGTATATGTAGATGCTCGCTTTATTTTTATCATTAGTATGCTTCCAAGGTACTCATCTCTCAGAACTTCTGATGAGTGGCTGTTTAGCATACTGACTCAGTTTCCCTTCCAGTGAAACGCTTCATGAGTTATCCTGAAGCATCTGCCGTGGATCACTCTGCAACTTCAGTGGGAGGCGTCAGTGATTATTAACAGGTTCTAGTAGGTCCTCTTTATGGATGGTTCCCTTCCTCCCCACCTCTACCTCCTTGCCATCACGCCTCCTGAGAAAACAGCTACCATGACCTGGGAAAGGAATCAGAGGTACAGGTTCCTGGACTGCTCAAGAAAATGAGCTGATGAACATCCCACCCAACTCGACTGCAGAAAGTTAATTAGCCTTTTTAGTGGATGAGGTAGGGTTAATGTAGAGACAATTAGAAAATAAAATTAAATCAAGCTCTTTTGCCCCTGCTATAGGAACAATAAGAATTCAAGAAGGGGCTGGAGCTGGGTGGTGGTATTGCACACCTTTAATCTCAGCACTCAAGAGGCAGAGGCAGGCAGATCTCTTTGAGTTTGTGGCCAGCCTGGTCTACAGAACAAGATCCAGGACAGCCAGAGCTACACACACACACACACACACACAGAGAGAGAGAGAGAGAGAGAGAGAGAGAGAGAGAGAGAGAGAGGTTAAAGAGATGGCTCAGTGGTTAAGTGCACACACTGCTCTTCCTGAGGAGTGGAGTTTGATTCCTAGCACCTGCTTCAAGTGGCTTACAACATCCTGTAACTCCAGCTCCAGGAAGATCTGATCTCTGGCCTCTGTGAGTACCTGTACTCTTGTGTACACACTCCTGCACAGGTAGACACATACTTGCAAACAAAACCTTACAAGAAGAAAAAAGAATCCAAGAAGGAAGATACTGTTTGGATCTGAAATGGCTCCTCCAGGCCCACATTACAGAACTAGTCAGCCTTCCACTCTGCTGCTGGTCTCCAGGGAGGAAGTGAAGGGGACAATGGGAATTCAGCTCCTTCCTTTCTATCTCTTTGCTTCCCAGCTTCCAGGAGATGGGAAGATCTCCTCTGTCCTGTGTTTCTGCCAAGATGTGCTGTGTTGCCACAGACGAAAAAGTAATAGGGCCAAGTGGTCATGGATTCAAACCTCTGAAGCTCTGACCCAAAATAAACCTTTGCTTGCTGAAGTTGTTTATCTTAGGCGCTTTGTCACAGTAACAGAGACGACAGGCGTAGGAGAGTAGTAGAGATGAAATTTCATAGAAGACTGGAGGATATCTAGATCGGGAACAAGCATAGAGAATGAGCACAATGGATGGAACAACAAAGCTGTAAAGACGAGAGGAATGAGTTGAGAAACGGAGGGAGAGAAGGGCACTAGCTACAGTAGTAGGCTCATGGCAGGGTGTGCAATCTGCGGCACACCGCTGTGTTTGAGGTTGACGGGACAGGATGGATCATTGTCTGGCGTCTATAGTGGAGAAGAGATGAAAGCAAGCCCTTTGAACACATATCATAAAGAAGCAGGAATTCCAGTCACTGGCTGGATATGAAGGGAAGAGAACCTCCGTGGTTCTTGAGTGTGAAGAAAGATATCTTTTTGACTAGAACAACCAGCTGATTGGAAAGGGGGGCTACAGTGGGCAGGGCTGGCCAGGGAAGTGTCCTTGCTGAAAGAAAAGTGATTTGTTTCCTTTGTTTATTTGGAAGTTAGTGGCACAACCAACATGGACCCCAAAATGCTGCCCCACACATACACGACGTATATTCACATAAGCATAACACACACACACACACACACACACACACACACACACACACACACACACCAACACCCTGCTATAACATATTTTTTTAAAATCTAAAAAAATTAGTCATGAAGTTGTCTACTTCATTGGATAGAGGTAAAAATGGGAGACTAAATATGGATTTAATTAATAAGATTAAAAACTTTTTAAAAATGGGAGACTGCACAATACTGGAGTCAAGCTGACTGATTTCAAATCTCTACTTTCTAGCTATGTGTTTAAGGGAGCTGTGAAACCTCTGTGCCTGATTTTTTTTTTCCAACTGTATAAATGTCAGTGGTATTACCTACTTCATAAATAAGAAAATTTATATTGATCAGTTCGTAGTAAGTATGATGGGCCAACATAGAAACAAGTCAACCAACATCAGCTGTTTATTGCTTTTCTCAAATAAAATAATAAGCACCAAACCCATTTATAAACTAGGAAATGTTCAGCCTTAGGAACTTCCTGTGTAGAGACAGTGTGGTAGTGTTGGGAAAGTGCCTGATGTGACTTAAAACATATCATTGTGTGTGTGTGTGTGTGTGTGTGTGTGTGTGTATGTGTGTGTATAATTTATTGGTTCTTTGGGAATTTCACATCATGTACCCCGATTCCACTCACCTCCCAGTCTCCCCAAATCCACCCCTTACCCCTGAAGCTTCCCCCCAAAAGAATTTTTTTAGGGATCTGGAGAAATGGTGCAGCAGTTAGGAGCACTGACTGCTCTTCCTTGAGGAGTAGGGCTCAGTTACCCACAACTGTCAGTAACTCCAAGATATGACACCCTCACATAGACATACATGTAGGCAAAACA